GTAGGTTCTGAGGGACTTGAAGGAAAAATTATCCATTGAGGCTTATGGAGGTTGGTGAGGAAGACTGTTCTAGATTGTTTTTCTGGCTGAGTCTTGCAGTCAGAGAGAGAGGTCAGGTTCATCTCTGATACAACCAGAGTTCAGGAGGTGGGTGTCTGTGAATGGAAATTGCAGAGCGAAATCAAGGGTCAGATGGGATTCTTAGCCAACTTGGCCTAGTAGGATTTTTGCCACAGGCAGGTGAGTGTGACCACACTTCACTTGGGGGGTGGGTAAGAAAACAAGGAACCTGGCCATCTGTGGAGGAGAGCAGATTGGGTTTTGTCAGGAAAGTCCAAGAGATAATTCAGAGCCTGATTAACAACTGCCCAAGCAGAGTTGTTGTCAGGGAGCTTGAGAACTCTTTGTTAATGTAGCTAGAATTCTGGCATTTGGGAAGCCATGGCTGGGCTGAGTGCTGGGGAATCTTTTTGCTTTACAGAGGAGTTTATGCCCATACCAGTTGGTTTGTATATCACTCAGCAGAACCTGTTGTGGCCACAGAGTCCTAGGCAGACAAGATTTCTTAGACCTATTTCTGTGTGTGTGTGTGTGTGTGTGTGTGTGTGTGTGTGTGTGTGTGTGTGTTGTACTGGAGCTTGAACTCTGAGCTTGATGCTTTCTCTTAGCTTTTTTGTTCATAGCTAGCACTCTACCACTTGAGTCACATCTCCACTTCCTGCTTTTTTGGTGGTTAATTGGAGATAAGAGTTTCATAGACTTTGCTGCCTAGGCTGGCTTCCAACTGTGATTCGTAGATCTCAGTCTCCTGAATAGTTAGGCCTATTTACCAAATTTTTGTTTCTGGATCATTGTATCCTGACAGACATAATTTTACTCTGTCTCCCTGTCTCCCTTCATAGGAGCATCTTGGGATAGAAACCTTTTTTTTTTTTTTTTTGTAGTGGGGCTTGAACAGGACCTGGGCGCTGTCCTGAGCTTTTTGGTCCTTTTTTCTTTTTGCAGGACTGGGATTTGAACTCAGGGCCTCACTCTTTCTAGGCAGCCACTCTACCACTTGAGCCACACATCTAGCCCCTGTCCTGAGCTTTTTGTGCTCAAGGCTAGCAATGTACCACTTGAGCTACAATGCCACTCCCAGTTTTCTTGTAGTTAACTAGAGATAAGAGTTTCAAGGACTTTCTTGCCTCAGCTGGCTTTGAACCACAATCCTCAGACCTCAGCTTCTGAGTAGCTAGGATTACGGACATGAGTCACCAGCACCCAGATAACCTTGCTCTTTTTATCTGTCTGCAGTGCCTGGCATTTAACCATGGTAAGTCTGTGAGTGCTGACCCATGGCCTGGGCTCATCACCTCTGGCTAGCTCACAGAAGTGGGACCTGCTCACTGAGCCTCAAGCTTTTTGTGTAGCTCCTTACCACTTCCAGGAACTCCATCCAAGTGGCCCTGCTCCTCAAGTGGTCTTCAGCAGCTCGTTGTAAAGATTTCCTTGAAAGAGCAGTTAATCTTCACAGGACCACGCTAACTCATGTTTAAACCATGGCTGGTTTCCAGTTTCATTAATGACTTCTTGTGGAACAGTGCTAATGTCTTCATGTGGCTGGTTGGCTGGGGGTCAGGAAATTCGCTGGGTTTTCAGAGGGGCTGTCAATAACAATGTCCCGTAAATGAAAGAAGGGCTTGTTGATGGATCTTATAGACCTTAATAGAGGACTGAGTTAGGGGGACACTTTACAGTGGCCACTTTTTTAGGGTTCCTCATATTATTCTGCCCAGTGATTCGTTGTTTAGGCCTCTCCTATATTCCAGAGTAGCTGATCCTCCTATGTCAGGCAAAAGGTGAGGAAGGATATCTACTGTGTTACTCTCCTAGCCTAGGCCTAGCCTACTATGAAGTCAAAGCATGGAGGTCCCATTTCCCATTGTTTGAAGACTAGGAGTTTGGGGGTAGAGTGACTCCCTTTCCTGTCCACCTTCTCTGTGATAGGAGAACAACTATGGAGAAGGAATTAATTGAGCAGAGCCGGAGGAACAATGTGCCTGTGCTTCATCCTTTATGTGGGCGATGGTCCCAGGGAATCATCTGTGGTTTTTGTGGGTAGCCACAAGGAAGCCATACTCTTCTTTTTTGACCAAAATAATGTCCACAATCAGCACCTCACAATAAGTTGATTAGTAGCTTGTGCATGTGTGTGTTTGAATTAGATTGGCCAGCAAATAAAGCATTTCATCACTGCCCTAAAAATCTACAGAGTATTAACTTTCCTTTTTAGCTGGGATCATGCTAATGTGGTAATATTGTAGGAAATGGGTGGACACATCAATTGTGCTTAAAGATTAGGTTGGCTCTATTAATCAGTAAGTGAGTAATGAGGTGTGTGGGTAGGTTAGAAAAGAAGAAAATAGTAGGTGCAACGAAGTCAGGGTCTATTGCTTATTTCCTGAGTACTTTTAAAATGAATGAAAATTATGATATAGAATTATAAAATGTCAAGACAATAAGGTAGGGGCCTAATTTTAAAACACCAAGGATTGCTTAGAAATGGAACAAAAAGTTTTAACTACAAAATTCTTCCATTAGCTTGCTATTGTGGCATGTGCCTGTAATGTCTGCTACTTGGGAGGTAGAGGCAAAAGAATCACAAGTCCAAGGATCACATAGCAAATTGGACTGCATAGCAAATTGAAGACCAGCCTGGATAATTTCGATAGCTTGTCTCAAAACAAAATTTTTAAAAGGATTGAGGATGTATCCCAGTGGAAGAGGGCCTAACCTAGCATGTGGGTGCCCTGAGTTGAACTCTCAGTACCAAAAAAAAAAATTATGTCACTTTCCTCTGATAGCAAGTGTGGGATTGTGGATGTGGGAGGGCAGATGATCTCTATCATCATTCCTTGGGGTGACATGTGAAAATCTGTCAGAACCTAGCAGGAAGCCGAGTTCCATCGGGCAGGCTCTCTGTTTAAGATTTCAGCCAATTTACATACAATAGTTCAAATTGCTATTGGCAAAGTATGAATGAGAATTTGGACAGTTTTGTGGAAGTCATGAAAAATAGAATGTGTGTGTGTGTGTGTGAATCATCTGCGTCCCACTCTTCTTACTCTTTCTCTTTTGTGAGATTAACTATATTCAGAGAGGTGACCAACGTGGCTTCAAAATGATTGAGCATCAAATCAGATTCTTAACCTGGGGAGCAAAATTTTAAATCTTTGGACCTCAGTTTCCTTGGTTATCAAATACGCACAGGAATGCTACCATACAGGGTTATTGGTAGAATTAGAGAGGTGGGTTGATGAATAGTTCTTAAAGTAAGATTTTAATATACAATATTGATGATGGTGGTGATGGTTTGATGGTAACAATGATGATGGCATTGATGATTGTGAAAACTTCCTTTTTTTTGGTGCAATACTCTGTTTTCGTGGGGAAAGGAATTCTCTAATTTCCAATCTTGTCCTCATAAGGAAGAGCAGAGTAGCTTGTATTTTAATCACATTCTATTTACATGTTTATGAAATTGCCCCACAAACAGCCTAGTGATCAAACGATGTCCAGGGCGTTTCCTTTAGTAATGAAAAGAGCAAAGGGAGATTCAACCAGTCAGTTATGAAGCAATCATTTGTCAACTTCAAAACAAATGAGGAAGGAATTTTCATGGCCAAAGTAGAGAGGATTTTTGTGCCACTCAGAAGCATAAATGGGGAAACTTGTTGGCCATATATGAACGTTCTGCATTTCAAAGTCATCTGTTTCTGTTCACAAGGATGTTTCCAGAACGTAGAACATAATGCAAAACGCATTTGGCTGAGTAAATATATTATCTGTCTGCTCCATTCATTTTTCCCACTTCCTCGGGACCTCCTTCCATCTTGCTGCATCAAGCTGCCTGATGTTTACTGACCACAGTGTGTTCTCTGCCCCTTTCCCGGGCAGCATTCTCTCAACTCACCACACCTAGGTTTGTGTCTCATTAATGCCAGTAACTTTGAGATGTGAAAAACTTGATCCTTGACAAGTTAAGTGTTTACCTTGTGATTAATCAATAATCTAGCTTTGTATTTACTTCCTATAGTTCCTATGACAAGTTAGTAAAACTCAGAGCAACACATGTTTTTTATCTTACAGTCCTGGTTGGAAATCTAAAAATGAATTTTGCCAAGATAAAGTCAAAGTGTAAGCTGGGCTGGCTCTTTCTGGAAACTTCACTGGAACCCATTCTTGCCTTTTCTGTTGCTAGGGAATTCCTGCATTTGTTCACTTGCCCTTCCTCCCAGCAACTGGCAGCTCCTTACCTCTGCTTCCTGTCATATCTCCGGTGACTCTGACCTCCCCTCTCTCTCCACCGGGAAAAATCTAGGAGTTTCTTCCCTAAGTTAATATCCTTATTTTAATCTCAACTGCAAAGACCCTTTCACTGTGTAAGGTGACACATTCACATGTCTGGGACTGAGGACAGGGACATCTTTGGTGAGCCATTCTTCTGCCTAGTACAAGATTCCATGGTTGTTGTGAATTTGTCTCTTCCCCACCCTATCCTGGTGCAGGGGGGGGGGGGGGCTAATGAACTCAGGGCCTGGGCACTGTCCCTGAGCTCCTTTTGCTCAGGGCAACCACTCTACCACTTGAGCCACAGTGTCATTTCTGGCCTTTTCTGTGATAAATTGGAGACTAGAGTCTCCTGGACTTTTCTGCCCAGGCTGGCTTTGAACCTTGATCCTCAGATCTCAGCCTTCTAAGTAGCTAGGATTACAGATGTGATCCATCTGCCCTTAGCTTTTGTGGCCCTTGTATATCACTGCCCCCCCATTTGTACTTGTTTGTGTGTGCGTGCGTGCGTGTGTGCACGCACACACACAATATTTTCTTAGCATTCTACTTCACACTATTCACCCTTCTTCCCTCTGTCTCTTACCACATGCCCGTGTCACCTGCTCGTTCAGACAGGGCCCAGGCCCGGGAGCATGCTCTGCTTCCAGCACTCTACTTTCCTTGCCATGCCCTCTGTCTTCCCTGCTGTGGACTCATCCTCCAAAGCCCATTTTAAGCTCCTCTTCTCCATGAGTGAGTCCCCTCATGTTATTTCTGGATGAGCTCTGTAAAGGAAAGTGTTTCTTCTCACAGTGCCTGGATTTCTCCATCCGTGAAGGTATTCAGGCTAATTGGGTGCCAGTTTAGCAGGCTGAGTAACCAGGTCACACCAGCACTGTCTAGACGGCTTGTTTGTACAGCAGAAAGGATAAACTTGCCTGTAGAGCAGGATTGCCACTGATGTTTTTGTCAATGTGGTCCTATATGGTTGACTAATCCAATTAAAATATCTAGTACAAGATTTTAATTAGCCAGATAGTCATTTTGTAGAGATTATTATTGATTACTGTTGTTCTCCTCCTTCCAGAAATCTGCTGCTTCATTAGCTAAATTTTAGTGGAGAAAATGTGTGTACACAATAAGATGAGTAAAAAAGTAATTTTGCCAGTGAGCCTCATTTTCAGGCACCTTCCTCAAGGAAACAGTATTAATTGCTTTTTGTTTGCTTTTCTTAAGATTGTGTGTGTGTCTGTGTGTGTGTGTGTGTAAGAGAGAGAGACAGAGAAGAAAGGAGTGAGAGAGGCCAATGGGAATATAACATACACAGTGTTCTATATCTTTATATATTTCACTTGCGTCTTGGGAATAACTTTATATCAACATACACATATCCACTAAATTCTTTTAAATGGCTGCATAGTACTCCATTGTGTTTTTAATCCTGTCATTTGCTTAACCAGTTCCTTATTGATTGATATTTAGATTCTTTCCAAAGTTTTGGTATTTCTAACTTTTACTGAATGTTTAGAAGCCATGATATTGCTACAAGTTTCTTTGCATAGGTATAGCCAAATGGTCCTTCAATGTAGCAATTATTGTACCTATGGGGGCTTTGGTGCTTTCTGAAGGAGCTTAGAAAAATGAAGAGCATGGGCATGGAAGGTGGCTTAGTGGTAGAGAGCTTGACTACCATGCATGAAGCCCTGGGTTCAGTTTCTCAGAGAGAAAAATAAAGAGCGTCAGTGTGTTTGTTTAGCAAGAAACTTGTAAGACTTTTTGCTCAAGTTCCAAATTGAAACATTTGAGCAAGGATATCAGTGAACCTTGTAAGGGTGCATCAAATTGTGTTTCTGGGCACAAACATAACCCAGAAGTTGGGGTCAGCCTTCATCCCTCACCTGGCCATTCACACCCACTAGGAGCTTCTTGTTTGAAACTGCTGCCCCCTCCAAGGAGGCATCAAGAGAACACTGGTTCTTCATAGAAGTCAAGAGATAAGGGAGCACAAATGTAGGTGTGGTGTTCTTGCCATAATAACAGGGGATGGGTCGGGGGAGGGCATTTGTGCAGGAAGAAAGCTTCCTCACACAGGAAATCTGGGAACACTGTGGTGACAAGCACCATGTAAGAATATGCTCATTTGACAACCTTGGAAGCTGGGTGCCAGTGGCTCATGCCTGTAATATTAGCTATTCAGGAGGCTGAGATCTGAGGATCATAGTTGGAAGCCAGCCTGGGCAGAAAAATACGAGACATTCTTAGCACCAATTAATTAGCTGGAGTGGAAGTGTGGTTCAAATGGTAGAACACCAGCTTTGAGAGAGAAAAAAAGCCAATCAAGAACTCTAGTATAAAAAGTAAAATTGGAAAAAAAAATGTGGGGAATGATTACCTCCTTCCCCTGAATTCCCACTTGAGGTCATTATCTCCATCACCCCAGTAGAATATATCCTCATATCAAAGGCATCAACAACCTTCACACACACTTGGTGGCCTTTGAATCTTCCTGGCATTTTAAGCTGTGGCTTCAGTATACTCTTATCATCTTAGAAGAACTGAATCTTCAAGCCTGCCACCTCCCTCCAGAACTCAGACTTCTCCCAATCCTCCTTGTTGATGTGATTAAAAGAAAAAAACAACAGCAGCAGCAACAAAAACTCACTGACACCTTTTGATTCCATGTCATCTTTTGACAATTGACAAAAGGACAGTAGATATAAAGTATGGGAGGGATCTGTCAGGGAAATGAGTGGGGGAGGAGGGACATGCTGCTAAGTGAAGCTCCCTCTTTAAAGCATGCTGTATGCTGCCATTTGGAATTTATTTTCCTCCTGCCTTTGGATCAGTGATTCTATTAACAGGAAAGGTTTAGTGCCATAGGAAAACCTTCAGAAGGCCAAGATGTCCCACGTAGTGATGGTGTGCTAGCATTCTGATGCCTTCACCCTGTGACAAATCTTGTCATAACCCAGACCCTGCTCTGGTGGCCTCCCATGCAGAGGTGCTCTTGGACTAAGCATTGATCTGTGTGAAAATCAGATTAATTGTATGAATATTTACAAATGTCCTGTCATGGTCCTTGAAGCTATTACAGAAGCCTGCTTGTCCTTGTGGAATTTACCAATTGAAGAGGAAGATGAAACAATGTTGAGTAGGAGTTCCTTAGCATCTAGGCCACAATTAAGGGTCCATCTCTAATTCAATCTCATTGGTGAGGCACTGATTCAAGTTAATATGAACTGGAGTTACAGATCATTTTTCCGGAAAGAGTCTTTTCATCCATTTGGCTTTTGCAGTCATATACACTAACTTACAGCTTTCCAAATAATTGTCAAGCAGAGGGTTTTATGAGACGTGCTTCAGTGAGTAGATAGATCTATCTATCTATAATGTCACACAGACATTATTTGTTCTGGAAGGATGTGACAGGAAGAAATATCTTTTTGCTGTTTGCTTGGTAGTACATTGCTTTAAATCAGGCCTGGCTTTCCTTTGGTCCATGTGCTGAATTAGCACCAACATGTCCTTCGTGTCTCTGAATTAAAAAAGACTTTTGCCTATCAGTTTCCACTTCTGTCGCCTGGTGTCTGCCTGGAGAGTTGCTCAGATATCAAGACCAGATCAATATCAAATATCAAGACCACCTTCTCTTTGGATTCAGCGGGGGCAAGAAGACTACCATGGGGTTGGCAGACAAGCTTCACCATTTTAAGAATTCATCTGAGGATCTTGGTTTGATCTGAGAAAAGGGGATCTATGGCTCAAGTGGTAGAGCACTAGCCTTGAGCAAAAAAGCTCAGTGATAGCACTTACACTCTGAGTTCAACCCCAGGGACCAGCAAAATTTTTTTTAAAAAGAAAGAATTGATTCTGGTCTGGAGCAGTAGGTCAGAAAGGTCCCTGTCTAGATCCTCAATTGTCTCAAACCAAAGTAACACTAGCTATGTTTTGTTATCTGGTTAGATTCCCTCCCCCCATTTTTTGAAGTAAAAAAAAAAAAAACCAACAGAAAACTACTCTCTCATCTTGTCTTGGCCTGACACAGAGGAAAACAGTATGCTGAGTGGAAAAGAACATTTTGATTTATGGCCAGAGGCCTAGGGGTAGCGTCCACAGGCCCATTTACATGATGCAGTGATAGCAATAGGCAGGAGGCAGTGCTATTAATAAAGTTAATAACACAGTCTATCCCATTCATATGAAGAAGGGCTTCAAAGCAGGAAAGGCAATGAGCCAATACTAGCTGACTCTCAGCTAATAGGGCAAATCATTTCAGCAGCATCTGATTATTTCTTGGCCTAATTTTGGATGGATATAATTTTACTGAATGGTTGATTTAGTGTGCTGTCGTGAATCAAAAAGACAGTTCCAGAATTCCTGAATCTGGTTGAAAATCAAGGGTGTTTTGAAAGAGTCTTCACCAGTTTAGTTGGACAGACATGATGGAATACAGGAACTAGGCAAGTCCCCATAGATTGGAGGCTGAAGTTTTGTTGGGTTTGTGCTCATGTTACTTTTATATGCAAAAAGAATTATTTTTGTCTATGTGCTGGTGCTGGGGCTTGAACTTGTTCAGGGCCTTGAACTCTTCTTGCTTGGCTTTGTTGCTCAAGGCTAACACTCTACCTCTTGAGCCACACCTCACTTCTGGCTTTTTAAATGTTTAATTGGAGATAAGAGTCTCATGAATCTTTCTGCCTTTGCTGGCTTTGAACCATGATTTACAGAGCTCAGGCTCCCACATAGCTAGGATTAAAAGGGTGAACCAGGGGATTTTTTTTTTTTAAGTGACATGCATTCAGATTAGTCAGTCCACACATGGCTCCTTGTCATTTGTTGTTAACAACTTCAAGTTAAAGGCTGGGAAGGCAGAAGCCCTAGATTCTTGCTTGTGTTGATTGTTTGTTTGTTTTGTTGTCATTGTTGTTTGACTTTTTTTTTTTTGAGAAATGGGCTTGCTGTGTTGCCCAGGCTGTCCCCAAATTCTTGGGCTCAAGCAATCCTCCTCCCTCAGCTTTTTGAATGGCTGGGGCTACAGGTGTGTACTTCTAAATCTGTCTGTTGTTTTCTGTTTTGTTTTTTTTTAAAATAATTTTACTTGGTAGCAAATAGATATTTTTGTCAGCATATTGCAGGACACAGCTTAGTCTGAGTTCTGGTCTCAATAGTAAAAGCTACAGATAGGGAAAAAGACATTCTGAATGGCCCTGTGGATTTTGTAACAACTGGAATGTGCATATCTAGTTCATCATGCTTTAAATGTCAGTGTCTAATCAAGGCATCCTCAAGGTACATGGTTTATGTTCCTTTTCTCAGAGAATTCGGGAAAATGATGCATGCCAGACCTCAGCCTACTGCTTTGGTTTGCCTTCCTGCATCAAGTTAACTGAACTATGGATCTCTACTTTTAAAGGCTGGGGTAATGGCTCTTGGGGTGGGCTTTATAGTCTACCTCTTAACACCAGAAATCTACTCTTGATCCTGCTAATCTACATAATGCAAAACAAAATTCTTCAATCATGTACACTTTCCCTTAGTTTTGGAAACTCAGTTCTCAAAACAGAATGTTTTTTTTTTCTGCCTACCTGGTTTATAATCCAAGTAAGCTGTTTTCTTGGTGACTATTGAATTTCCTTTGCAATATAAAAGAAAAAAAAGAAAGGATTCCATGTTTGCAATTTGTACCGTATATCTCCAGGTGCAGAAAATACTTAGCATCACAAAAAAATAACTTTTTGGATGACCTTTCTAGTAATTTGTCACAAAGTAGAAACTTGGTATTTTTAAAAAATAGAATAATAGTTTTCTTTATGATTCAAATAAGTGTTTTGTCACAACTTGAAAAAAAAGCAATTTTCAGAACACTGGAATTTTAATTTCTCCTACAATTATACATCTTCTTAGATCTCTTCATAGACCAGTCTTGAGATGCTATCCCTTGGGAGCCCTTTGAGCCTAGCCAGCTTGGCTCCCTTCAAGTTCTAGGCATGCACACTACAGAGATAACTGTGTTGGTACAGGCATAGTTGTAGTGTTGGTATAGCCCCGCCTTTCTGTGTTACGTCCCACCTGTTTCACACCCACAGTCCACCTATGCTGAATACCCCTTTGTACTTTTACATCTTTCTTACTTGGTCCCTGTATTGGTTGGTTCCTTGGAGTTTACTTTCTAGAGTAGTCTGAAGACTTAATAGGCCCAGATCATTTCCCTGGCTGCCACCAGCCCCTCCTTCCCTACCCCCTTGTCCTCCTCCTTCCCTTTTCCTGTCTTTGGCATTCCCATCTCCTCTCTTTCACCTTCTCTTCCTCTCCTTCCTCTCTCTCACCACTTCTCCCACCTTGTTGTGTAATTACATTGAAAGGGCCCCAACTGCTCATGCATGAGTAGTTTTTTTTTTTTGATGTTTTTAATTAGCTTTCTTGAACAGGGGGGAAGTGTCTGCAAGTGATTTCTGTTTAATGTGGGCACAATAACAATTTATGCTAATCTTTTATCCTCTTAGAAGACCAGAGAGCCTTGTCTTTGGAAAACATGAGAAGATAAATGCGCATTGTTTGGCTAAATGACAAAGGGATGTATTTGCACCCATGGGATACGAAGTGGAAAGCTCCCCCAGAGACCCCAACTGATCTCCTGCCCCCCCTGCTGCCTCTCAGCCAGCATGAGAAGAACTCAGACTGGCTAGGGGACATGCTTTATTTTCTGCCCTGTACTTCCTCTGCAGCTAGTTCTGTGCATTCTCATCCGAAGTGGAAATGGCAGTTAGCTTCTATACTGTACTTCTATACTGTGCCTTTGCAGTTGACTCATGCCAGAGTTCTTCATAAATATCAAAGGGTTCAACCATCTGGTACCCTGTCATCATTCCTATAATTCCTCTTTTGTTTGGGGAGGTAATGAGTGAGGTTTATGGAGTTTTTTCTTTTTTCTGTCTTCATAAGCAATGCCATTAAGTAGAAGTGGTTTAAATTATTATTATTATTATTGTAGGTAGACATACTGTAAACTTGATCATTTAAACCATTTTAAGTGTACAGTTCGGTGGCATTAGGAACATGGTTGTACAGCCATCTCTGCCCTCTGCCCCAGGACCTTTTCATCTTTCCAAATGGAAACCCTGTCCCCAGTTGACAGTTACTGTCCCCCCTCCTCCCTCTAGCCCCTGGCAACCACTGTTCCACTTTCTGTCTCTGTGAATTTGACTGCTCTGGGGACCTCATGTAAGTGGAATCCTAATAGCATTTGTCTTTGTGTGTGTATGGCTGGTTCCTTTCAAGGTTCATCTGCATAGAAGCGTGTGACAGAGTTCCCTTTGTTTTAAAGGATGAATAATATTCTACTGTGTTTATGAGCCACATCTTGTGCCTCCAATTTTCCCATCCATGGACATGGCACATGGACTGTTTCTACCTTTTGGTGACAGTGAACAGTACTGAGATGAATGTGGACAGATGAGTCAGGGCTGAGGTCTCTGTGCTGGCTTCTTTAGGACATGTACCTGGCTCTAGAACTCGGTCTGACTTTATTTCTAAGAGGAGGGGATTACGACCTTGACTTTGCGATTTGGCTCTGGAACACTTGTTCGGATTTTCATATCCATCCGGGGCCTTCTCTGTGCTCTTTTCTTTGTATCTTATTGGGTAGCTCCTATGGGTCAGCCTGGGCTGCTTAGATCAAGAAGCCCTTTCTGGATCTGCGCAAGGCAGGGCCCAGTTAGCCAATCCCTTCATGATTAGGGACAAGGGCAGAGAAAACCCTACACAAGGATGACACAGGTCTTACCTTGTTTCAGCTTGCTGCAGCTCTGACCACTGCATGGGTGAGTCTGGAGAGCACTCGCTTCCCTCCCCAGCCTGTCTCTCCACAAGGAGCTGATGGGCGCCACAACCCCACTTGTCAGTGTTCTCCAGGGGGAGGCTGCTGTGCTCAGCTTGCTGCCTGAGGTCTCCAGCTGAGGAAAGGCTCCTCTGCAGAGCATTGCCTCTGCCTTGGCCATAGTCTGTCACCATCCATTCCTTAGAGGAAAAGGGCAGGCATGCATGAAGAGCAAAGCAGCAGGCAGCCACAGAGAATAGGCCTGACAGCAGCTTTTATGACCCCAGCCTGCTGCCAAGGGGCAGTGATCATAGCAAATCCAGCAGACTCAGGAGAAAAACCACGGTGACGTCATCAGCATAAAGGATCAAGTAGAAACTGAATGAGTAGGACATTGGGCATGAAATCACCCATGCTCTCTAGTTTTGGGTTTTCCTTACTGACTTCTTATTCTGGAACACAGCCCCTTATTCCACCTGCTGGTGTAGGATAGTAAAAGGGAACAGGTACCTCTCAGGGGTCAGGGGTAAGGGTCTTTTTTAAGAATCTACTTTTTCCACCCCTGGGTGAGAGGTGAGAGGTGAGAGGAACACATTCCGGGGTCTATGGCAGATTCTTATGTTCTGAATTAGATTTCTTGGGCCTGGGCCACTGGCAGTGATCCAATAGAATTCAGACCATCTGATTCCATGTGTCACAGTGTATTCAATCTGTTCCGGGTTTTTATGAATTCATATTGATTTTTTTTTAAATTCTAGGTGGTTCTAGATGGTTCAGAATTGTGGTCTTCTGAAGGAATAATTTTCCGTGCTAATAATTTATGGCTATTTTGTGGGAAAATTATCACCTGTCCCTTAAGTTTGTGGAATGAGACTCAGACCTTGCAGACAGATGGTTCTCTGTACTGAGAATGTAGATTCCTGGATGAATCCTGGCGCACAGACTCAGCAAGGGGACAGGAATGCCTCACCTTGGAAAGCTTGTGTGGTCTTCTTTTGGCCCTGTCAAGTCGGGGAGGAGAGGGAGAGAAGAGTTTCCTTGCTGAGGTATCTCTCTTCTGTGACTGAAGAATGCAGGCTCCCAACATGTAGCCTTGGGGTAACGCCATTGGTGGTGGTTGCTAGAGGAGAGTTTGTCTTCGATAACAGTTGTGTGGAAGGCATCCCTAGAGTCTCTAGAGGTGGCTCGTGAAAGTCTGAGGACAGAGACAACTCAGTGTTTCCTTGGCCTGTGAGCTGAGAACCTGCTTGAAATTCTGGGGGACTTTGTAGGAGTCTGTCTCGGAGGGGAGTTCTGCCCTGGGAAAACATCACCATTGTTAAGTCCCTCCCATCCCCTCCCTCTTCCTACCCCCTGCCTTTTCCTTCCTCTTCCTCTTTGCCCTCCCTCTTTCCCCTCCCCCACAGTAATAAGACTTGAACTCTGGGACTCATTCTCTCACTCAGCTTTTTTTTTTTTTACTCACAGCTGGCGTTCTATTTCTACTTCTGGTTTATGGCTGGTTAATTAGTGATAAGGGTCACACATATTTGTTCAGGCTGGTTTTGGACCATGATCCTCAGATCTCAGCCTCTTGAGTAGCTAAGATTCCTGCATGAGCTCCTTCCCTTCTCAGAGCTAAATTTCTATTTGCAAGCAGGCAAGACCCCCCCAACCCACCCCGCCCCAACCCTGGTTTCTTTGTTTATTTATTTGGTTTGGAAAGGAAATAGCTGCTTAATGAAAACTTGCTTACCCTTACCAATTAATTAATCCTGTGTCAATACCACATGTTGCACCAACTTATACTGTAATTACATCCCTACCTATCTAGAAGAATTAATTCAATGCTTGTGAAACGTTCTGAACCTTACTGTGGGCGTAAGGGCCTGTGGGAAATGGAAGAATTTTAGCATGACTTGCTAGTCTATGTGTCCCTGAGCAGGGCTGATATATGCCAGGAATTCTTTCTTTCTCTGGAGGAGGAGCTGCTTTAGGGAGTAGTACTCTTGCTTTGGCATCTCTCAGTTTGTGACTGAAGAATATGGGCCCCAGGGCCCACTCTTGACAATATCATTGGTTACCATTGATTCAGCAGAGTTTGTCTCCAATCATAGTTGACTGGGGACAGAGAATGCCAAGTAGCCAACCCTTGTGGGCTTCCACTGTCCTATTGCATGATGGCTCATTGCCCTGTGTATTAGTAGTGAGCCCTGCTGCGCGAAGGGTGGCGGTCACTCAGATATTGGTCCTGGGCTCAGAGGAGCCATTGTAGAACCCCCCTCTTCTGACACAACCTGCTTTTTTCTCCCTCTCTCTTCACAGCGGGGCCTTTTCTGAAGTGGTTTTAGCTGAAGAGAAAGCAACTGGAAAGCTCTTCGCGGTGAAGTGCATCCCCAAGAAGGCGCTGAAGGGCAAAGAGAGCAGTATAGAGAACGAGATTGCCGTGCTGAGAAAGTAAGTGCATGGAGAGGGCGCCTCCCTCCCCTGGCTGCCTGCATGGGCATCTTGCAGGGCAGGACCAGTGCTATCCCCCTACCACCAACCCCCGGCCAGGGCCCCAGGGCTCTCATCCATGGAGTACTTGCAAGACTTTTTCTTTACACCTGCTATGTCTTCAAGCATTGACTGTCAGGGTGCTCGCCATGTGTTCATGAAGTGCTCCCAGCTGCGTGGCTGCACTTGAAGTACACAGTAAATGCTGCCACCGCTACTGTGAGCACTACCACTGTCATTGTCATTGCTTTCTTATATCATGAGATAGAGCCACCAATGAGGGTCCATATCCAGAGTGCCCCCCCCCCTTGCAGCTCTTAGGTGGCAGAGCCCAAGGGCTCACCTCTCTGGTATGGGTTCTCTACCTTGTGATGGCTTTTATTTTTTTCCTATTCTCTGCCACAGCCATGAGCCTAGGCACCTGCACATTTCCATGGCTGTGTTAGTGTTCCACCTCTTGGTATCTCTCTGTCTCTGTCTCTGTCTCTGTCTCTGTCTCTCTCTCACACACACACACACACACACACACACACACACTCGCGCTTCTTCCCCATGTACATATACTAGAGCCAAATAAAAATCTCATTCCCTCCAGAATATATATATATGTGCATGTGTATGTACATTATGTATATAACATAATGTATATGTATATTACACATGTGTCTGTGTGTGTCTGTGTGTGTATATATACACACACACACAATCGTTGCTGGGCTGGATCTGCCTCAGGATGACCTTGATGTGTTGGATCCAGCCCTACCTCCACTGCACCATCAGGATTAGTCCTTTCAGAATGTGTAGGGGAAACAACCCTTATATGGTACCTACTTTTACATGTTTGGCATGTGCTTCAACAATGTGCTCTGGAAATTTTTGAGTTGCTATTAATAAAAGGTGTTCAAAATATCCTTGAAAGGTGGGAGATTTGGAATGAACACATAGCAAGAGCCTCGGTACAGACAGACAAAGCAGAATGGGAGCAAGCTTGTTGGGGCCTCACAACAAGATGTCAAGATCCCCACATTCTTCCCGCCATAAGCCACTCCTCATTTCCCCACTGAAGGATGCTGACCAAATCCCTTGTGTCGGAGGTGGAGAGGATGGTTTATCCTGTTCTGGTCTGTGGGAGACTTGAAGACAAACCTGCAGCCTTTTGTGCCGTGTGCTCCATAATGAATAAATCTTAGGAGCTTTTTGGTGTAGGATTTTCGCTTATTTGGTTGGTTGGTTACTTGGTTTTTAGTTTCTCTGAGTCATCTATTAGGAATCCAGAGTCTTAGATTGTCCTGAGGAGGATTGTAGGAAATGAGTGTATGGAAGAGGGTCTGAGAAAACAAATTAGGAACATTAGCATCAAGCAGGGAAACACTATATGAATGAAACATTTATTTAAATTTCCAATATGAAATCCATGCTCCAAGAAGTTATACACTGGTGACATGAAGTTGCAGATGCAACTCTGCAACTCTGCTCCCAGAGTCTTCCAAAGGCTCAGCTTTAACAGGGGTTGGCTGCTGAACTTCAGGTATCAGCTTTATTCTTCCATGACTCCCTTAGAAGCCAAGAGCTGAGGAAATCCGTTTCTCTGCTTAGTGCCGTTCTGCACCCTCAGGGGCCGGGGGCATGGATATAAACTTTATAAGTCGATGTTGGTTTATACCCGACTCCTTCTGCTTCTATTACTGTCTCTACCCGGTGCATTACTCAGGATCATGTCCTGGGATGGGGCATGGAGAGTTGGGAATTTGGAATAACTTGTTTTCATTGTTTGTTTGGAATGCCTTGAAGCATGACTCCTCTTTCTGCAGTAAGGAACGAAGAGATGGTTTCTCAGGGGATAAGAAGTGATGTATTTCCTATACTGATTTCATTTTTGGATCTTCTACAAATGATTGCATGCCCTGAACAGCTGGCAGAAAAGTATAGTATCCATGAGGGATGCAGTGTGGAAACATTCTTCAAAGGAAGCCCTTGGTAGGGCTGGAAATGTGGCTTAGTGGTAGAGTGCTTGCCTGGCCTACACAAAGCCCTGGGTTCAATGCCTCAGTTCCACATACATAGAAAAAGCCAGAAATGGAGCCATGGCTCAAGTGGTAGAGCATTAGTCTTGAGCAAAAGCAGATTGGGGACAGCCCCAGAACTGGGGGAGCAAGGAAGGAAGACCTTCACTCCTGTATCAAACATTTACAAATCCCCACCATGCTTCAAGCTCTGTGCGACTAGCTATTAAGTTTAAGATGCAATTCTTGCTCTCTCGGAGACCTCCACTTTGTTACTAATCAGTACAATAAAGTTGTTGATGTGATAGAAGCTTGGCCCAGGAGTTCAAGGGCTGGGATGCTTAGTCTCTCTGCTGGGTGGGATGGAGGAAGGGGGTCAACATTATGGGTCTACACACTGACAGAGAGGCAGTTAGAAGGTGGAGGCAGGGTTCTTTGGGGAACAAGGTCCAAGGTGAAGCAAAGGGAAACTAATTTAAGAGGAAGGATTGTGGAGGCCCTTGTAGACTCAGCTTGGGACCCTGAGCTTCACTGTGTCAACATCCACCAATGGGCTTTCATGATAGGAGCAATTTGATCAGCATTTCACGGTTGATTGTGTAATCTGGATGAATAAATTGGAGGGGGCTGGCAGGACTTGTTACATGGCAGAACAGAGTTTGGTGATTGTGGGGTGAAGCATCAGCAATTCAGACAGGGGCCATGGAACTGGAATAGAGGGACAGAAAGGGTGGAAGCAAGATGTTGCCGTGGGAAGCTGTTACAGGGGGGAGCTGGGATTCTAGGACAGATCTGGGTCCTCTGGTGTGAGTGACAGTATAAACAAAGGCGTCAAGTGAGATCAGAAATCCAAACTCCCTGGCGCAGTGAGGGACAGGTGGTGAGGTCTGGTTTGGAAATGGTGCATGTGGGGGTCCTGAAAATGTCCAAATGAGGGAGTCCAGTTGACTTTGCAAGGCTACAACTCACCTGATGTCTGAGCCTGATAGATGCTAAACTTTTGTGAAATGACATATTTAAAATAATCTTTTGGTACTCTAGACAGACTGGCAGACCCCTAGCTGAGGTTTCTGCTAGGCCTGCTTTATTCTGCTTTCTGCTCAGTCCCTTCATCACTTGTGCAGTTCCACACTGTTGTGCATCCATGTAGACCCAGTTGAGAAGCTGCTGGCTCTCCTACATGCTCGGCTTATTGCAGGGTGAGAGATTTATTTCATTGGATAAAAGTAATATAGCTAATATATCCTTGTGGAAATCTGCATACTTGGCTCTGAAAATAGTTCTCAAATGAATTTTCTACTTGATAAGTAGATATTAAACCAAGCTCAGAGAAGGGAGAGACCCTGACAGATATCATTATATCTGGCAGAAAGGGGTGGGGTAAGGGAGGGAGCAAAAGGGAGGGGAGAGATGGGAGACACTGGTGGCCTCACTTGAGCGTTCAGTAGGTTGCATCTCTATGATTCATCACGAGCTGTTCCAGACAGAATGGCTAGCTGCAGTCCCGCAGTGGAGGGTGTTACACAGTGTGGAATATAGCATCATTGATTTAATACACCTTGGCTGGATTATACTGGCTGGGTTCTGTGGTTATTATTTACTTAGAGGGCAAGCACTGCTCAAATCTAATTTCGAAGCAACACATAAAGCCCTTTTGCAGAGGTGGAAAGGCAAACAGTCTGCATTTAAATGAGAGGTGAAAGCAGAGGGAGATTCATAACACTGGAAAACAGGGATGAGGAGAAGCAAAACAGATGGATCTAGGAGCGGCTCTTGGACTCATGGTTGGGGAAGACGAGGCTCGGGTTGGCAGAAGAGCTACTATACGAATGATAAATGGTACCAGACCAGAACTTATCTGGCTCTTGTCTCAGTTGCTTTATAGCGTACAGAGGCCATCTTGCTGAGAAGTGTTTTCTTTTCTTTTTATTTAATTCTTTTTTTATTGTGAAAATACTGTTCAGAGGGGTTACAATTACATGGACAAGATAATGAGTACATTTCTTATCAAGCATTGTAGCCTACTCCTTTGTTTACCCTTCCCATCCCACCTAACCCTCCTCCTCCACCCCCACCAAAGTTGTAAAGTTCGTCTTCGACATATCGACTTGTACGTCTCATTGTTGTAATGTGTCCACCTGTATCCCTATTTAAATGATTTGTTTTTTCCCTTCCCCTCCACAGACTATACCAACATCAAATACAGTAAAAGCAGAGGTTATACTGTGGGGGAGGGACATACAAAGCAACAAAGAAATAATCTTATAAATGTGTTAGAAACAATCGCATGAGAGAAAAAACATTTGAATACATATCTTAGGGTTCATTTCCCTAACATCAACTTATCTGACCTTTTCTGCTTGACTCAGACATATACTAGTTATT